AAAAGAAAAGAAAAAGTATATGTCAGAGGTACTTACTGTACAATAAAAAATAAAAATTCAGCAATATCTTCTACATAAAACTCCGGCAATGCTGCAAATACCTTGGGGACGTCTGAACTCAAAGGCAGTGTTACACTGTCAAAGAAAAAGAAAAAAGCACAATTTATAAAAGGAAATCACAGTGCATCAAACTACAAGAAATATCATGCTACCATTATGTAAAAAAAACCACTCATGCTATTACGCAACTATATAAAAAGTATACAGGCAAAGGAACTACAACCAGAAACAGAGGATAATGCAGATGGCGTGCTAGGGAATATGTGAAATGTTTTGTTTCATCCAGCCAGATAGCTCAGTGGACTAAAGCGCCTGTGTAGACAGGTGGAGGGACCAGGTTCGATCCCCAGCATGCTGTGCTGGTCCCGGTCCCGCCTCCAGGGTGACCTGAATGGCAACTGAGACTGGGTGTGGTGGTGCGTGCCTGTAATCCCAGCACTTGGGAGGCTGAAAACAGGGAGGACCACTCCGAGTCTGAACTGTGTGAGACCCTGTACTAAATATATATGTTTAAGGTAATGCCATAAATAAAGTAGGGAGTAAATAAAAGATGTATTTGGTCATTCTGTGTGACTCAGACTATGAGGGCATTGCAATATGTGTACTTTGCATTCTTGCACAGGGTGTGGGCTAATCTCATCAATAATGGTACCCACAGACTTTCTTTGATTGTAGTTGGAGTTTTTTGAGGCAATTTCACCACTAGGTCAGGCTGGTCTTCAACTTACTATGTAGCCAGGCTGACCTTGAACTCACAGGATCCTCCTGCCGCAGGCTACCCAGTGCTGGGATCACTGCACCGTCACACCCAGTCCACAAACTGCCTAATAACCAGAAAATAAATGCAGCAAAACTGGCTGTCAGGAGGTGTCCAGTTGATGACAAAGTGACCGAGTATCCTCGGCTCATTCAGAATTCTCTGGGCACTCTGCTGGACCCAGGGCCTAGGAGGGCCTCATGTCCTGTTGTCTCCAGTGTTTAGCTTCCGATTTATAGATTTCCCTTTCCATCAAAGATTTTATAAGACAGTTTTTTAAAATGTTATGGTGAAGCTTTAAAAAAAAAGATACTAGCATTTTTCTATGATGGTAATTGATCAGGAGAGAAATACACTGATACACTCATTTCATAAGCTCTACCAACACAATCTGGAAAGTGAGGCCTCCTCGAGGAAGTTAAGGTTCAGCTTTAGTTACTGACTCTGAAGAATGACCATGACAACACAGCCCAGACAATACAGGCGGCAAAGAGGAAAGAGCACACTCACTCGGGATATGCAGGGTCCAGGATGCGGAGCAGCAGCTGAATGAGAAGGCCATAAAAATTCAGACATCTTCTCAGGAAGCTCTCGTCAAGTAAGCCAGCGTCAGCACAGGCCTTGCACCGTACCAGTTTCTGTGGAAGTAGGTGTGCCCCCACCCATAGATTAGTCAGGAGCTGAGGCCCACAGCGTGACTGGGCAGGGAGGGGGCCAGAAGATGGAAAGTCTAGTGCTAGAGCTTCTAGAACATTCTAACTGGCTACAGGATGCTGGCTGGGTCAAGATCTCTGTCTTCCCTGAGAAAAACAAAAGGTACGCCATGCAAACCACTGAGCATGGAATCTAGCACACAGTTAGTGCTCAAGAAGGTTAGCGTTACAGTCATAGTTCAACAACTTGGTTGGGGTGGGGCTGCCGGGGAGGCCCTCTGGTGTCAGGACGGTTAGTGGAAAAAAGCAAGACAAATCCACATCTAAATTATAGCACCATCAGTAGAGCTGCCCTGAGGCAAAAGGTCTGTCTGCCAAGGATGCTCCATACCTGGGAGGGCTGCCCGAAATGAAACATACATGCACACATACGTGGACACGGAAATGTGACACTTCAGACCCCAGAACACATCTGTGCAATGCATAGGGGGCTCTGGGCCCTTGGTTTAATTTGCATCTTCAAGTGTCTATTAGCAAATGCAAAACTGAAGTCTTAACCTATACCAGAAGTGAAACAGGTAGCTTCCCTGGATCATCCTACTAGTCAACAGGAAGTGTGACCAGCTAACCCTCAGCACTGCCATTTAAGCAGAAATATATGAGAAGTGTTTTCCTTGTTCAAGGTCAGCCAGGGTCTTTTGTAGCTGAGTCTCACAAGTCAGAATACTTCCAGCTATCATTAAGTTTGCAGGATGGATCGTTTTCAGTTAAAAGTAAAGAATGAGGCAAAGGAAGGCCATCTTGCTGTTACTACAGATCCATCTTGGCAGGCATTGAGCGGCTACAGGGCCAGAAGTCCAGAGCACGTGTGTATGGTGGGCTTCAGGTCAGAGGACAGAGGACAAGGGGTCTTGCACAAGGTAGGCCAAGGGCAGAGACACGAAACTGAGTGAGAAAGCCTATGAACAACTCATGCTGTCACTGCGTAAGCAGGAGCACATTCTGTGCTAAGTTTTTAAATAATTACATGTAGATGCACAGGCGGTATCAGCAAGTTTTAACATGTCCTGTTTTATCTTGAGGGAAAGGGAGAATGAAGAAAAAAAGTCAAGACACTAAACTGCTCACTCCAGGCACATATTCTGGAAGAAAAATTACTGCCACAAGACCAGTCCATAGTGATTCCAATTAGCTGTACAAACCTTTAGCTGGGTTTTACAGCGCTTCAGCATCTCGCGATGTCTGGTGGCCAGTGGAGAATCTTTCCACTGGCTTTCATTATTTTTCAAATCTTCTACGGTTCTGAAATCAAAGACTAACAGTTAAATGAAAGAAGACACACTGCTGTCTTATCCATTCCTACCATCTCACGATGCTCAGACATAGCTGTGTTCACATGGAAGTATCTTCACAACCAAACGATGTTTTACATACAACCAAAGGCCAGATACAATTCCACTGACAGCATGTTTCTTTCCTACTGGTTCCTAAAATAATGATGTGTCCTAAAATTGTTAATGATGGATCTGATGAAACATAATTGTTTTTAGAAGTATACTGTCCCCTTATTTTCCTGGGAGAGGAAAAGAAGTCTCATAAAATTCAGATGAGTATGCCTACACTGTAACAGAGGCAAAAGAGAAGGTACTAATGGCACTGCTTCTCATCCTTACTATTCTCTGCTGAGATTATCTATGGGGCTCGCTCCCTGCTTGCTCCAGGGATGTGCTCAACAGCCACCTGTCAGCGAGGTGACATCTCATGCACTGCACATGTAGAAGACCAGCTTGTTAACACCCCCACCTGTCTATCTGCCTCACTCTCTCGTGACTGCACACCCCCAGATGCGCCACCTGCCTGCACAGCCTACTGCCACTCATGAAGCCCTGTGACGAGACAGTCGCATCATAATTTTGGGGGCACCGTGGCAGAGGCTCCTTTTAGGCTCAGGCCTGAAGAAGCTTTCCAATATCTCTGCGTCTCTTTCTGAGGCATTTCAATGATTCAGCAACCCAATACTGCCCTCCTTTAAAAAAAAAAGTATGTATTTGGCACAGGGTTTTGCTATGCAGCTCAGACTCATAGTAATCCTCCTGTTTGCAGTCTCCCCAGCTCTGGGATTACAGGCATGTGCCACCATGCCCAGACTTGGTGGCTGGCTCAGCTCGCCCAGGGCGAGGGCTAGCATATCATGTGCTGCCAGTAATCGAACCCGGGTCCCTGCACCTGCCAAACAAGCGCTTAGACTACCAAGCTATCTTGCTGGCCCACCACTGACCTTTAATGATCATTCTCTTTCTTTCTTTTTTTTTTTTGCAGAACCGGGGATTAAACTCAGGCCCTTGCGCTTGCCAGGGAAGCGCTTATTCCACTGAGCAATCTCCCCAGCCCGATTACTCTTTCTTTCTTTCTTTCTTTCTTTCTTTCTTTCTTTCTTTCTTTCTTTCTTTCTTTTTTTTGTGGTACCAGTGATCGAACTCAGGACCTTCTACTTGCCAGGCAAGCACTTACTCCACTGAGCTAACTCCCCGGCCCCCTCGATTATTCCCTTTCTGATTAGCCCATGTAATTGGATCCTTTGGTCCCTGACTGACCATGTGAATGTGGTAGGTAGAATAATTGCCCTTTATAAAGATATCATATCTCAGTTGCTGGATGGAACCTGGGGATGGAGACAAAAATACTTGGTACTGTGATTAAGAGCATACATATCGATATGGGGAGACTATCCGAGATTACTTGGGTGCCCATGTCATCACATAGCTCCTTCTGAGAGAAAGAGGGAGAGAAGACGAGGTGACAACAGAAGCAGAGATCAGAGAGGAGCAGGTTTGGAGATGTGATACTGCTGGCGTTAACACAGTGTGAGGGGGCCACAAGCCAAGGAGAGCAGGTATCTGTTCTCCCTGAAGCGCCTGAGAGGGTTGCAGCCATGATTCCAGCACTTCTGAGTGCCAATGGTGCAAAATGACAGTAAGAGATTTTTAAGTCACTAAGGTTTTTGTTTTTAATTTATTTTTGTAGTAGGGATGGAACTCAGGGCCTTGTACATACAAAGCAAGTGCTCTTCTGCTGAACCACACACACCTCAGCCTAGGTTACTGAGGTCGTGGTGATCTGCTACAGACCTGCAGGACTCTTAACACAATGACTTGTGGTACCTGACAAGATGATAGGTAAGAGGCCTGAGGAAAAATGGTTCTCTGAAGCCAAGTCTGTACGAAGACTAATTTGAAAGTGAAGACCCAATTATTATGAGGAGATGGAACCCTGGTGGTCCAAGGCTCTGTGTAGATTTGCACAGGATGGAGACAGAGTGAACTGGGTATGGTGGCACATGCCTGTGATCCCCGCACTGTAAGGAGGCTGAGGCAGGAGGATCATCATGAGTTTGAGGCCAGCCTGGACTACCAGTAATTCAAGGTCAGACTGAAGTACAGAGTGAGACCTTGTCTTGGGAAAAAAAGAGACAGAGACAAACAGACACTGGCTACTTCTAACTATGCTGGGAAGCTTAGAACAAGAAAACGACAGGTTCAAGGTTTCCAATTCTCGTCTCCTAGAAAAACGGATGAACTAGGGAGTTTCTCTACTGTAGGAAGCAGCAGCCTCCAGGCCTATAAATCCCCAAATTGAGCACAGATGAAGTTCACAGCCTTCCTGGGTCTCCTACCTGGAAGTCGGCACGCAGACCAGGTGCCCGAGAGGTCAAGTGGAGGAGGCTGGAAAACAGAATCACTCTGAGTACACTCAACCCTCAAAATCCTGTACCCCTTGCTCTGAAATGATCTCAGCTGAGGCAGTCTCCATGAAGGATGACATCAATCTCCCTTGGGGCAACCCCATCACCTCCCACTGTGCCTAAGACCACAACCAGCCAGATTAAGGGCTGCCCTGAGGGTGCGTTACAGAAGTAGATGCTTGCAGAGAAAAAATATGGTCAGGTTTGCCAGTATGCTATACTGGTCCGCTACAGCTGCTGTAACAACCTGCAAGGAAAAACACAGTAACTTGGTCTTAGTGCTCTTGTGGGGGAAGTCTAAAATGAAGCCAGACCTGTGGTGAGGCCTAAGATCCTAGCATCCAGGGGGGCAGAGGCAGAAGGATCCAGGTTCAAGCCCAACATGGGTAACATAGTGAAACTATGTCTCAAGATGTAAAATAGTTGGTAATTAAGAAAAAGAAAGAGCTAGGGACATAGCTCAGTGTGAGGGCACTGGTGTTAAAAGTCCAGGTCAGCAGAGTTGGATGTTGCTAGAAGCAGTAGAAGATGGTTCTTTACCTTTTCCAGCTGCGGTTTCCTGCGCCCCTAAGCTTAGGGCCTCTAATCACTCAAGTTCCTGCTTCCCTACCAAAAGCCCTATGAAGGCACTGGGGCCCTGTGATGGCACTGGTAGGGTAACTGGTATGATGTGGGACACCATCACCACAACTCACCTGGAAAGTTCCTTAGCACCTATGGTAACACTGTCACAGGATCCGGGCACTAGGACGTGAGCACTGTCGGGATGCTGCTTTCCCACCCACCTCCTGTGCTCCTGGAGACATGTGCGCATCTGTGTGAGGTCCAGCGAGGACAGACTCTAGGAGGCTTCTCAGCGAGGAGGGGCAAGTGCTACTGTACTTCTCTGTGGGGCTCCACCGACTGCCTGCCCGAGGCTCTGGATTCACTGTTCTCCTGAGTCTTGGAAGGGGTTCTCACTGTGTGCCCAATGAGCCCCACGAAAGTGGGACCTGACGGTCACCTAGGCTGAGAGGAGCTGAGGGATGCCTTGATGCCACACACAGAATGGAACTGAAAACTTCAGGAGCTTGGAATAGGAGTGTAGACCTACGTGCAGTCTGCTCAGGAAACCTGCCTCCCAATGACATGGGAGAGGGAACCAAAGCTATACCATTTTGTATGCAGCTGTCACTTTAAAGCTTAAGTTTCTGTTTCCTTCAGTTTGTTTCTCTTAAATGTTGTCACAGTAACCTAAGCCAGCATCACCCCCTGCTCTACTATAAGACTGCTCATTCCCTTTGTAAAATATCAAACACTTTGTTCCTTTGTCACAACCTAAGCCCATGCTTTGTAGCAGTATTTCTGTAGCTGCATGAAGTCATATCAGAAAAAAAATCTTATCACCTCCCTCCCCCCAGAACTGGAACTATATAAATACTCTCTTCTCCTGCCCTTCAGCGTTGGTGCTCGATCATGTACTGGGTGCTCACTGCCAGCTAATAAACTTGCTTCTCTCTGCACCCGGCCTCCGAGGGTGACTCAATTAAATAAGTGCTTGCTATAACAACAATATGCACAGACCACGCCTGCCTGTCCTAGGTGAGACTTTTGGCGTCAGTGCTGACACGTAGGTGTAGGCACAAAGTGTCTCTGCAAAGCACAGCAGTGCTGTCTCTTCTGTGCTGGGAGTGCAGATGGCAGATGGTGGTCCTGAATGGGCTGGCCAGGGGAAAGGGAAGGTGACAGGATCTCAGTGGGGTGGCTGCCCTAGGATGAGGCCACAAATGCAGACCATAGTTTGAAATGCACACAAGCCTCTCCTGATCACTGGCTTTCTAAGCCGATCAAAATGGTGGAGATAAAGAAAATCTGAAAAACAGCTTAACACAGTTGGCCCAAATGGCACAGCTGCACTCTGCAACCCACAACACAGAGAACGAATTCTCTTCAGGTCTGAATTCTCTTCAGGTCTACGAAGGGAAATGTCAGGTAAATCCTGATAAACTTCAAAGGACCCAAAATGCACAGAGCAAGTTCGCTGGCCACAATGTAAGTCAGCTAGACACAGGCTACAAAAAAGATGCAGATAAGTACCCCAAGAATCTGCACTTTAAACACTTTTTTCTGGTCTTTCTGAGACAGAGTCTCACAATACAGTTCAGGCTGGCCTTGAACTCACTTTGTAGCCCCAGGCTAGCCTCAAACTCACAGTGATCCTCCTGCCTCAGCCTCCTGAGTGCTGGGATTACAAGTGTGAACTACTTTGCCTGGCCATTAAACAATGTATTCTTTAAACAATCATAGGATAAAAAAGAAAAAAATTAGAAAATGCTTTGACCTGCCAGGCATGGTAGCACATGCTGTAATCCCCATACTCAGGAAGCTAAGGCCTGGGCTACACAGTGAGATCAAGGCCAGCCTGAACTACACAGCAGGACCCTATCTCCAAGAAGAAACAAACAAACAAGAAATATTTGACCTGGAAAGGATACGGACATGCCAAAAATATGGGGTGATGCATATACAAGAAAGGGCTGAAAAGGAACGGCTTAAGGTTTCACTTCAAGAGGCAACACAACAAGAAGGAGATATGTGAAGTAAAAAGAAGTCAGAGGGCCAAGGACATAGCTCAGTAGCAGAAGCACCTGCCTGGCAAGTGCAAGGTCCTGAGTTTGATCCCTGGTACCAAAAAAAGGGGGCCAGGAACAAAGTTCAGTGGCATCAGTACCTGCCTGACAAGCAGTCCTGAGTACCGGAGAGAAAAAAAAAAATTAGAAGCAAATATTTAAGACCCTGTACACATATTAAAGAGATGAAAAGGGGCTGGTGAGATGGCTCAGTGGTCTGAAGCACCTACTTAGAACAAGCTAAGCCAAGCGGGGCACAGGGACCGCGGTTC